TTCCCCTTGTTGTAATCTGTGTTGCCCGCCGCCTTGCCGCCTCTTTACATTGATCTGACTTTGGCGTTGCATGGCCGGGGATTCTCTTTCTTCTTCTCTGCGATTCATGCGTTCCTTATGACAATTTCTGTCCAGAAATTTGAGGGCTTTCGTGGAATCGATGACAGTGCTCGTGTAGATTGTGTTTTCTAACCTGAAGGGCCCTCGAAGAAAGCTGGATGCTTCCTCCTATCTCATTGATTTCTTCTCAGACGGACAGGGTCAGAGGTCTGTGGAAAGCGGCAAAGTGCAGAGAAATGTTCCTGGGTTTTCTTACGGAGGAAAGACGTGTGTGGAAGAGGGAGGTGGGGGTTGGGTGAAGGGCTGACAAAGAGAAAGGGGATGATATAGGGTTTTTTTTAACATAAGAGAGAGGGAGGTTTGCGGGGAGGGGGGGGGGTGGAAGTCGGAGAAAAGGAAGTAGATTTGGACAAGATAGTGGAAGAGATGAGAAGGTGAGACTGCATGCTAATGTAATACTATTTTCTTTCGGGACGATGGTCCTTGGGGTGTGGCGTGTTTCTGTGTGTGCGTGGAAATGTGGGGGCGGAAGGGGGAGGGGGGGGGTGGATCGGGGACAGAGGAAAGAAGAGAATATAGCTTGAGACGTGTTGTATTATTCATAGGACAAGGGTCTGTTCTGTCTTATGCTGACAAAACATCTTTTTTCCATTTGTTTTCATTTGCTAAATCTGTAGCCTGATCAGTAACTCTACATGTGTGGAAATGTGACTAGCTTCTGAATGAATTAGAATTCAAATTTGGGAAAAAGGCCTTTTCTAAATGCTGACTTTCTCTGACAAAACGCCTTTTTCTTATTCACAGCATTTTCGAGAAATCAGCTTTTTTCGTTTTCTTATCATAATATCTTAACTATTTTGCCCAGTAAACCAACGGTTGATCTCGGACCCTGAAGAGAATGTCATTCATTCCCTGTGCTCAACACAAAGAAAACCGAAAATCGTTGATTTCTCGAAACTGCGGTGAATAAGAAAAATGCGTTTTGTCAGAGTATTGCAGAATGGTCGTGCTGACAAAACGCCTTTTCTAAAATCTCGAAACTGTTGTGATTTAGGCCCAGAACAATGCGTTTTGTCAGTGTACGGCAGTATGGGCGTCTGCTTCTTTGAGGAACGAAAGGGGTTGTGTGTTCAGAAATAATCTGTGCTGGCATCTGTAGTGTGCTAGATACCCTCGTTGCTTCCCGTTTACTGTCAAACATGTTTTTGTAGTCCTAATCTCTCTTTCCTTTCCTTGTATGTTACTCTGTAGTTAGAAGTAACATTTAATCGTCAGTACTGAAAACTTTTCATGAACTCTGAACTCGATCTCTTTCTTTGCTGTTTCACCCCCAGGACATCGGTTGCGGTCTGTTTTTATCGAGAATGTCCTTATTTTTCTTTCTGTTGGGATGCTGCTGTGTCCTGTTAGACCTAAATTGGGGGCTCTCATTCAATAGGTCCCGGGTTTGAATCCCGGTAGCGACCGACATTTTTTCTTCCCTAAAATTGTCTCCTGTCACCTCTTTTCCTGCACTCTTGCAATGTTCTGTCGTATGCTTTCGTCTCCACTTTCTGCACCCACCCCTCACCTCCTTTTCCCTGTCCTCTGGGCTCCTGACTCTTTGTGCCGCCTTCCTACTGCTACTACTCGGCTCCCTCTACTGTTGTATTTCATCCACACCCCTGATCTTATGGTAGGTAAGATCTACACCTAGCCATCTCGGATAAGGGCGACAAATTTCCGAGATCCTGTGTGCTAATTGCGCACGTTAAAGATTCCTTGGTGGTCTAAAATCGACAAGAGGGCTTTGGCCGCCACCCGGGTAAAATTCAAAATTTCTTGCCTACTGAAAATGTTTAATGTGTTCTGCGCGCTCAGATTACCTTATACAGTTGCGAGCGCCGTAAAACACGTACCACAAAGCAAAACACAAAAAGCCTACAATGTCTCTGCCATGCGTTATCGAAGCAGCCAGCCTCTTAAAGTGCTGTGTCCATGGTTGCCTCAAAGTTTGGCAATCATTTACAATAAAATTATTATTTTTTAAAATTGGAAACCGGAGAAAAGTAAATAGGTGGTTGGCGGGTGCTGTGGTTTGTTTTGTTCCTTCTTTCCTTTCAAACATCTGTGTTCCTTGGTTGCGAGCGCCGTAAAACGCTAACC